CTATAAGCTAAAATTGAAGACAATACTATTTTGTCATAATTCTAAGTAATGTGTTGCGAATTAGGTCGGCACGATAAATAACCAGGCCAGCGCAAGGATGACAATTATGTTTTAATGGTTATAAAAATAACACTACAAGAGTGGGAGGCCGACTTCCCATCTGTCCGGCTGGAGCCAAACAGAGAGAGCGCGCATCTGGGTCCTCCCAGGTTTTCTTCCTGGGCTCCAGGTAGCCACGCCTTAACTAGATGTGATTGGTTGACAGTTTACCCATCAGTAATGAATATTTGTAAATCTAACAAAATGTTTAAATCTGTATGTTAAACCCTTAAAATATTGAGAAATATCCATATGGATGGAGAGATATTCTGTATTTTGGGTTGAGAAAATAAACACAGATACTCGGTCTCTCATAAATGATGGGTAGAGTTAACACAATTTCAAGAAAAATCAAAACATAATTGTTTACAGAAATAGGTAAATTTGTGTTTGTTGTAAGTAATGCAAAGAAATTGGGCCTAACAAATCAATTTTGGAAAAAAGTTAAAGGAATCTCACTATCAAATTTTCAGATAGGATAAAATAATCGTGATTGATATGATATAGTATAGGGAGGGGCATAGATACTAAGAGCAAGTCCAGCACAGCAGTACATACACACACACACACACACACACACACACACACACACAGTCTCTGTCAAGGTACATAGTAAATCTAATGTAAGACCTTTCAGTAATTGGTATTACAATTGGACAGCCATTAAAACATCGTCCACCTAAACCTCACATTTTAAATGTTATACATAAAACTTTTGTCACATGAAGATAGACAAAAGGTTCTTGAACATTGTGATAGTTGCTAGTACACCAGCTTGACAGGATCTAAAATTACTGAATTGACAAGCCTCTGGGTGTGTCTGCAAAAGTTTAATGAGATTAGATTAATTGGAACCTAAATATGGGCAGAATTATTCCATGGGCTGAGGTCCTGAACTAAATACGAAGAAAGTGAGCTGAGCACAGGCACTCGTTCTCTCTTCCTCATAGCAGTGGAGGCAGTACAGCCAGCCTCTTCAACTTCCCAATGCCTTGTCTCTTTGCCGTGGTAGACTGTACTCAACTGGGAGCCAAAACCCTTCCTTTTTAAAAGTTGCTTCTGTCGAGTATTTTGTTACAGCAGCTAGAAAGTAGCTGATACGGGCATATACCAAGCTCATGACCTATTGGGTCATAATAAACAAACAAATTAGACTTCATCAGATAGATTCTTTTGTTCTATGAAAGGTCTTAAAAAGAGGATGCAAAGATGCTATAGATAGAAAATACTTGAAAACTCATTTCTGACATAGAACTTATATTTAGAATAACTCAGTAATAGAATAACTTTACAAAAAATAGCACTGATATTAGATGTTAGTGATATTGTCTTAGGGTTTTGTTGCTGTGGATAAAGGAAAACATTTAATTGGGGCTGACTTACAGGTTCAGAGGTTTAGTTCATTGTTGGCATGGCAGGAAGCATGGCAGCATGCAGGCAGACATCATGCTGGAAAAGTTGCTGAGAGTTCTACTTCTGGATCAGCAGGTAGCAGGAAGAAAGAGTGACACTGGGTCTGTCTTGAGCTTCCAAAAACAAAGTCCACCCTTTGTGACACACTTCCTCCAAAAAGGCCACACCTACTCCTACAAGGCCACACCTTCAATAATGCTACTTCCTATGTGTTTATGAGGGCCATTTTCATTTAAACCACCACAATACTTCATCAGAATAATATATAATGCTAAATGGGCACATGAAAAGAGGAATTTGGCTTAATTAGCCATCAAGGAGCTACAAGTGAAAATCATGAAGATGAGATACAACTACATGCTTAACATGATGACTAAAAATTTTTAAAAAGTGTTGCTTATATCCAGTGCTAAGAAAAATTTGAAGCATATCTATTGTTCAGAGATATGATTATTAATACAATATTTTAGAGAATAGTTTGCCTTCGGACTTAAATGAACAGTTATCATGTGATTGAGCAATCCCATGCCTAGAGATGAACCATAGGAAAAAAAATTAAAAATTGCATTCATATGTAAACCTGTATATACAAATATTTTGGAAGCTCTTTTTAATTTCTAAAAATTAAATAATTCAGCCAGGCAGTGGTGGCATATTCCTTTAATCTTAGCACTTAGGAGGCAGAAACAGGTGGATCTCTGAGACTTTGAGCCCAGCTTGATATACAAAACTAGTGTCAGGACAGGCTCCAAAATGCTACACAGAGAAACCCTGTCTTGAAAAAAAGAAAAGAAAAGAAAAAAATTAAACAATTCAAACTAGACTTTATGTAGTACAGTCACACAATGGAATGAATCACCCTCAGCAATAAAAGAGAATGAATATTTCTATGTGCAACAACTTGGATAAATCTCAAAAGTATTTTACTAAAGAAGCCAGTCTTAAAACATTACAAACTCAGCCAGGTGGTGGTAGTACTCACCTTTAATCCCAGCACTCGGGAGGCAGAGGCAGGCGGATCTCTGTGAGTTCAAGGCCAACCTGGTCTACAAGAGCTAGTTCCAGGACAGGCCCCAAAGCTAAAGAGAAACCCTGTCTCAAAAAAAAAAAATCACAAACTCAATTCCATTTAGACAACAGTCTTGAAAACACAAACACATAGTGACAAAGGGAAAAGTGAGGTGGCAGAAGAACAGAAGAATGTGACAGCAAGGCAATAGCATGAGGGGAGTTAAAAAGATGGGACATGGGGATCAGGGGGAGACTGTTCTGTATTTGATTGTGGTAGTGATGGTGGCAATTAACTGAATCTCTACACATTAAAATCTCAGAATGGATACAAATAACTTATGTTGAACAGCACCCCCCCAGTCACTTGGTGTACACTTGTCTTAGTAAAAGAAACCAAAACAATGTTGATCTCTTTATAAACAATATTTCAATACATCTCCAATGCCTTTCCTATGAAAACAGACTCCTTATATTCCTGGAAATATACAGGATGAATCTTCATTCTAAAACGTGCAGACTTTCTAGAACTTACTAAAAATACAGGATTCTGTGTGTGGTGGCACACATCTTTAATCCCAGCAAAGATAGTTGCTATGCGTATGAGGTTAGTGTGAGCTATATAACAAGACACTGTCTCAAAAAATGCAAAAAGCAAGCAAGCAACAAAGCAGGAAGTGTTCCTAAAGGTATAATATCCTGTACTAGTAGTAGCAAAAAAATAATACACTTAATGGCTCAGCAGTTAAGAGCACTGGCTGTTCTTCCAAATATCCTGTGTTCAATACCCAGCAGCCATATAGTGACTTACAGCCATCTATCATGGGATCTGATGCCCTCTTCTAGGATAAAGGTGTACATGCAGATTGGGCACGCATATACATAAAGTAAAATGAATAAACCTTGAAAAACTTAACCTTATTTGGGACAAGTTATATGATGATAAAAGCATATTTATTGTTGGCATTACAATTTCTATTCTCAAAATATAAATACATAATCCTTAAAACAAATTACTTTCCACCTTGGATGGTGGTGGCAGAAGTTGAGTCTGAACCACACTCAACTCTGGTGAATTAGAGGTCACCCTAGGCTACAGGAGATCCTGTTTCAAACAATAAAATAATAATAGTTATTTTTATTGACCAGGAAATAAAAGGTAACACCTTCAGCTTTGAAATTACAATTTTTACAGAGATGCTGTTTTATTTTTCATTCTGTTTTTTTGTCCACTTAAAAAAAATTTTTTACTGATGACGTCTCAAGGCCCTCCAAGGTCACAAGTTTCTATCAGTGATCCAAGGAAGCAACAGAGAAAACACACGGTATTCTCCCAGGAAGAAAAGCTGGTCCTGCAAGAACATCTTGATAAGTGAATGCACCCAATTCAAGAGCAATGCATGGCTCAAAGATTTGGCTTGAAGGAGTCCCATATCAAGATTTAGTTCAATAACAGAGGAGCTGTGAGAATCCGAAGTAGGCTCCAGAACTCCTGGGAAGCCTGGCTCTGGATCTCATGATAGGCCTACCTGCCTATGTCCCTCTCGTCACCTCTGGCAGTGCAGATTCCATATGCCAGGGCCCCGAGCTCCAAAATCATCCATCCTCTGTTGTCAAACTGAGTCTGTAAATATCTCAAAGTCCCTTAATTCCACCAGGAATGCGAATGCAATCAAGTCTTCAAAGGCACTCAGATCATGAAAGGATTCCACGTCCCATGTGTCCCCCAGACCCATCAACAAAACCAAATCTCCGAATGCATCAAGGCACCCTAACGCTGGGAACCGGAACAGTACACCCTAGACACCAGATTCCCTTAAGTTCCTCAGTGAGTTCTGGCTCTGAGGGTTCCCAAGGCCCTACGGTGTCTTCAGATAAATGTGACCAGCAAGTTCAACCTTAAGCTCCAAGGAAGCAATGGAAGGAACGTACTGTGTACTCCCAGGAACAAAAGCTCCTCCTCCAAGAACATTTTGGTCAGTGCATGGACCCCAGCCTGGAGGAACATGTGGCACTGATGATTGGCGTGACCGAGTATGAGATCAAGATCTGGTTCAAGCACCAGCGTGTTAAGTACAAACCGAAGAATCTGTGAAAAATTCACGAAGTCCTGCCAGAATAAAATGGAAGCTCCAAAGATGTTTCTGTGTCTCCCCATTCCCATTGTCACCTATCTGTTCCTGCCCTTGCAAATATAGAGTCCATGTCTCTAGGCAAAAAAAAAAAAAAAAAAGATTGAAAGAATTGCATCACTTCCTCCCCTCTTTTTCCCCTCCAGCCACTCCCAGCTACTCTCCCCTGACCTGTTTTAATCTCCCACCTACATTTGTACCTGTGTATCTGTATGTAACAATAAAAACTGAAGAGAAGGAGGCTTGCATCTGTGTGTAATAGTAATAAAGAAAAACAGCCTGCCTGCTTGTTCCTTCTTACCCTCTTCCCAAACAGTGCATGTGCCGTTTCTAATCACTGCTTCTCAGTTTTCCTTCTCAGCTTGCAAGTTTAACGTTCAGAAGAGCAAGGAAGGGACAGGAAGGGTTGTGATGTGGAAGATGGGCATCAGGAACAGCTTCACCCTGGAGGCCACCTTCTGCGGATCTACTCTTGGTAACTGTCCTTGATGGCCTCTTCCTGACATAAACCAAAGCTAGGCTTTGCTGTAAGATTAGTGATACAGACACCACCAGTGAACATGTTCTTCCCACTTAAATGCACACTTAGGTTTGATCAGTCCTATAAGCAGGATGAATAAATGTCTACTGTGTGGTAGCTCTGTGTCATCATTCCCTCTTGTTTATAAAAGAATCTTCTGGGATGCACTCTATACTAATCTTCAAGCATTTGTTGTTGCTGTTAAGGGAATTCCTATGGAATTTCTCAAACTGAGAATTCCTGATGAGGCCGAGAAAAAGCAGTGAATGAACTTGAAATATTTTTATTAGATTTGTTGTTTGCCAAGCAAAAATAGAGGAGCAGTTTGCATTATTTCCTTGGTTGGTTGGTTCATCCACTCGTTGGTTGTTGTCAGTTTATATTTGGAATATATAATTCCAAATTCATTCCTGCAACTAAAAATGAAGCTGTGCTCTGTAGTCTCACATTAGAAATATCTGTGTCATGCTTAGCATGCATTAGTGAAGTTAGAATATTCTGTATTACAATGATTTTAACACGTAGGGAATGTTTCAGGTCGGGGTTGTATTGTGGTACCTGCCTGTGATCTCAGCACTCAAGAGAAAAGCAGGCAGCTCTTGAGTTCGAAGCTAGCATGGGTTACATAAAAGAACTTTTCCCATTTTGAAAAAGGAAAATTCTGGAAACTCATACATGTAATTTCAACCTAGTATTGTTTTTGCTTTTTTTTTTTCGGTTTTTCGAGACAGGGTTTCTCTGTGGTTTTGGAGCCTGTCCTGGAACTAGCTCTTGTAGACCAGGCTGGCCTCGAACTCACAGAGATCCGCCTGCCTCTGCCTCACAAGTGCTGGGATTAAAGGCGTGCGCCACCACCGCCCAGCTTTGTTTTTGCTTTTGTTCTGAGACAGAGTCTCTCTACATAGCCCTAGCTGTCCTGCAACTCACTATGTAGAGTAGACTGGCCTCAAACTCACAAAGATCTGCCTAACTCTGTTTCTGAGTCACTGGGATTAAAGGTATATGCCACCACGCTTAAAGATTCCTTTTTTTTTTTTTAATGTGACCTGAAACGGAGGTAACATCATTCATGGTGACAATATTTTCTCATGGAATTTTTCTGAGTACTTATCATCACAACTAGTAACTGGGGACCATAACTGTACCTGACTTTCTGCCTTGTAATACACATCAGTGTATGCACAGTAAGCTTTGCTCCCGGTTGTGCGAAAGGATGAGCAAAAGCTTTAAGCTGTTAAAAGACCTGCTCCAGAGAAGAAAATCTAAAGGACAGAATATGGAATTATACCCATGTTTTATTTATAGTGTCTCACAATTTGGATTTATCTGAAAAGAAAAAAATAGTAACTCATCCTCCAGAGTGAATTTTTTTTTTGATGTTTTAGGTAATAAACGAGGCACCCACTTCAGCACAAAAGACTTAGAGTCAATGGGATATCATTTTTGTGATTCTCTATTGGACTACTGTGATCCTGACCGGAGCAAGGTAAGTAAATCAATTTGAATAAATGTCAGATTCAGGCTGTCAGATGGACAACCTGTCTGCTGTCCTACAACAGGTGTTCCCTTTCACTGTCTTAATGGCTCTCTGGATTTGGGTGTATGTAGTTACCCAGTAACTGTATATATATATATATATATATATATATATATATATATATATCACTAAATTATATATATGTATGCATATATATGATCACTAAATTAGTTTAATTATAAAGTAATGTTACTCTTATAATGAACTCACTTATAATTTTCCCTTAGTATTTTAAGTGCCTGAAAGAATTAGAAGAAATGGAAAAACATATGAACTTGGAAAGAGGCTTTGGTGATTCAGATACTTCTCTAGTAGAAATATCAATGGATGTGGAGTCGAGGTAAGTCAGGTTCATTGAAGTAATTGTTACATTGTTTTGCTGAGCTTTTATTATACAGAAAAATTTAATACTAGGGAAAGTTTTCACAAGTGCATTATTTTGGTCAAATATATCAAAGTTTCATTTGATTTATTCAATATGAGCACGGCTGTGTGCCATGTGTTTACTATAGGTAAAAGACACACCAAGGTGCAATTGTTTTTGCATTCTCTCTTATTTAGAGCACAGCAAAACTGAGAAAACATTAGAGAGATTTCCAGTATATCCCCATTTCTATATGTCCAGAGCCTTCTCCTGCTATCAACATCCAAGGATGATATATTTTTCAGTGAATGAATTTCATTAACAGTTACGTCACAGTTCACGTTATCAGCTACTCCAGTCAGAAAGTAATTCCGCATGCTGTGTCTTTGGACAAATTTATAACGGCATGTTTCCTATCATCAAAAGAGAAGACAGAGTATCCTCACTGCATTGGCTCATACTCCATCCATTCCTCCCCCAACAACTGGCAATCACAGACCTCTATCATTGTCTACTTAGTTTTACCTTTTTCAGAATGTCATTTGATTTGAATTATTTCAAATTGCATTTTATCATTTAGTAACATGCTTATAAAATTCTTCTGTCTTTTCATGGTATGATGACAGATTTATTTTTAGCTCTGAGTACTAAGCATTGTGTTGTCTGAATTATTCACTCAACTGAAAAAAACATCTTAGTTGCTGCCAAGTGTCAGCATTGCAAATAAAACTTCTATAAGCATCAATGTGTAGGTTCCTCTGTGATATATTTTAATCTCTTTTGAGTAAAAATAAAGCAATGTGATTGCCAATGTAAATGTACAATTTGTTGTGTGTGTGCCCTTTATAGTAATACCAGTATAGTGCTGTAGGTTTCACATATAAAATTCCAAGAGGCATGTTGGCTGAGGCCATAAAATGAAGCATTCAAGTCGTACAGAAAGGGTTTCTTTACTCGGAGATGTTTAGGGTTTGTCTTGGTTTGGGCTTATTTGCATTTTTTAGCATAGGGGTAGTATACTTTCTCTTTACATTTAAATTTCAAGTGTTAAGAACTCTTAAAGAGACCTATCCTCAACGAAATTTTAAATTGACAGTATGTTATTGTTGATGATTGGTACAATATTGTACTGTAGAACTCTCCTCCTTAACTGACTTTCATGTCTATTAACTAGTAACTTCCTTTTGCTTCTGCTCCTAACAACCATTCTCTGATGCTATGAATTAGACTATTTTAGATACTTAGTATAAATAGAATTGTGAACTATTTTTGGAAAACGTTGTATAAAACATTTTAGTGCTATTATTGTGTCAGCTCCAGAACTGGGTTCTTGATTGATACCCACCCAGTCATAGTGTATCATTAGAGTTATTATTAGATTAGCTAGTAGTTACTAGATTTTAGTTTTCTAAGGAACCTCCATACTATTTTTAATAGTAGCTGCATCATTTTGAGCTTTTGTGTTTATATTATAAATGTCCAGTGTTATTCTTTTAAATATGGACATACAGTTTCTTAGCATCATCTGTTGAAAAGTCTGTTCTTCCCTATTTTGCACCTTTGGTTGAATAACATTGACTGTTGTGAGATTAATGCTGATTGTTAAAGTGATTGGCTTTAAAGACATCTAAAAGATTAGTAAATCACACCTCTTGGTGCAGTTGAGAGGACATTTCCACAGAGGATTAGATCATGAGGGCTGGTTCAATCTATTGATGGATTCAATTTGGGACTGTTGGGATGGTAGAACTATAGCAGATAGGGCCCAGTTAGGTTGCTGGAGCCATGATTTTGAAAAGTTTGTCTTTGCCCTGGCCATTGATCATTGCTTCTCTTCTAGAGAAAAGGACAAGAGAATATTTACTTGTATTAGGACAGAGATATTAAAACATAATATAATTAAGTAGGCTGAAGGTGACTCATTATAGACCTTGAATGCCTCATTTGTGTTATGGAAATTCTTAAATTATATAGAAGAATCCCACATATAGTCAGAAAGTTAAATATTCCCCATATTGACTTGATGTGTCAAATAAAAATATCAACAATTAACTTAATAATAATAAATACAACCTTGTCCTGAAAAATCCAGTTTTAATTTTATGACATGGACAGGAGGGAAGTCTATGAGAATTCTAATTGGTTTATGAGAATACCATTTTCTGTCTAATATAGATTCTTCTAAAAGCAAGCCAGTGAATAATAGTACATATTTTATATCTATTTCCTAATATAAATGTTTTTTCTTCTTAAAATCTATAGTTAGGTTATGCAGTAACCATTAGGTTTAAAATAATCTAATGGAGTCTTTCTCATGGCTTAAAAAACATGTGTGAATGGTTATGCAATTTTTGTCAATTCTGCCAATCACATACTCTCCATTGACTCTTCTCACCATTAGTTCTTATTGTTAGAGTTCTTTTCCTTCACATATTTTTACTTATTACTACTAGCATGGTCTTGCTTTCTTAAGCACAAACTACAGCTATGCCTTCTATGTACTATAGACTAAGTTCCTCAAATATTTGGAAGTTTTCTTCTGAACTCTTTTCAGTTGTCTAGTAACGGCAAGTGGTAGTTTTCATGTTCCTTTTAAAAAGATAAATACGCATATTACTACAGATCACTGCATTTCAAGAGTGACGCTTCTTCATTATGTATTATATATTACACAGCTTCTAAAAGGAAATATACCAACCAGATAATTCTACATTCTACAGATTCTTATTGATAAGTGTATTGGTGCTAGGAAAGCAAAGTCATGTCTCAATTTCTCAAACAAAGCTAAGATATTTAAAAAGCAGTTTTAGATAGGCACGATAGTACACAGCTACAGTTTCAGGACTTGGGAGCCAAAGCAAGAGGCTTATGAATTTCAGACTAGACTGGACTACATCCTGATATCCCATCTCAGAAACCAAGAGTCATTCTAGATAACACATGATGACACTTTATTTGTACAGTGCTTTATGGTGCTAGATAATAAATATTTCTTTGTACATTCAAACACTCAGTCTTACTTCTCTTAACCTGGTTTAGAATTGCTTATAAAAATAGGTAGTTTTCCAATGTCCCATCAACAATGACAGATATTGAAACTGTGGATTATTATGCAGAAATAAGGAAAATCTATATATGCTAATAGTCTGTAATAAGTACAACTTTATATAGGTAGAATAATATATTTTATAGGGAATAAGGATATAAAAATTCAGTTATCCATTCATGTTTTAAAAATAAAACAATAAAAGAATAAGTTTTAAAACTAATAGAGGAAAAAGCCGAATGAATATTTAACATTTGTCATTAGGAAATTGCAAATTAGAACAATGAAATACCATGACAAACACTTTAGAATTTCTTAAAATCCAAAGCACTGACAATACTAATGCTAGTAAAAATGAGAGAAAATAGGACCCCTGTTTGGGTGGGTTATGTTGTGTGACTCTTCCCGGGGAGATGCGAATAAAATCCTATTCATTCCACGTAGGGCACCAAAGCAGACCAAGGGAATAATTCCACTTCAGTTTAGCCTGGTGAGCCTATGAACATATTGGAATGACCAACACAAGTATTAGTGACTCACAGGTTGCTGCAGCGCCAAAGCCGTCACATCATGGCCACACCTCACAAAAGTTGTATCTACCATGACCCTGACCAGCTTGCTGATGTCTCTACCAAAGGAAGCTCCCCCTTCCCAGAAGCTGACTTCTTATGTGACCTGAAATAGAGGTTTTGTGAATCTTGTAACTTTCTGAGTTTTCTGAGCCTTCTAAGTTTTATGAGTTCCCTGGGCCTTGAAAGATCTCATAGCTTCCTGAGTGTGATGAACCTCCTTCCAGGAGAAATGTTTCCATTCAGAGGAAATAGCTACATAACACTCCACCTTTTCCTCAGGCTCTTACATTCTTTCTGTCCTCTCTTCTATATTGTTCCCTTTGCCTTCAAGAGAATGGTATAGTCATTATTCCAAGCAATAGACACTTATTCTCAGCAAATGAACCATTTGTGAGGCTCCACTGTAACTATTGCACACACACACACACAATGAAATATTCCTCCACATCAATAATCTATATACCTGATCACTAATAGTTAGAAGGCAGATGAACAAGTAAATCATATTTGATTGATTGACAATAGCAGTTCAGATGAAGAATATTCCTTAATTGTTATGTTTCCTACACAATTATTAGGGCCTTCATTTTCATGCTGAATAAGGATTTCCTCCTTCTATATTAAAGGTAGATTCAGAGGTATCTTCTATCATGCCACCTTATTCCCTCTTGTTTTCCATTTTTCCTGCAAAATCATAGAATGACGAGAAAATTATCACCCATGTGTCTTTTCCTCGTAATTCCTCCCTTAGTTGAGCAAGCAGATGAGTCTTAGCTGCATTTCTTATCACCCACAGCAAAGGCTGCACAGCTGATGCCACAGCCTCCTTACTGTCCTGGCCCATACATGCTACTTTATTTGTGAAATTGAAAGGAAAATTTATTGCAGGCTTTCCTATATTAGTGACTTTCCTATAAAACTGTAGCTACACAATGCATTGTGTCTATCATATTAAACATACTTTAGACGGAAATATAGAAACCATGAACTAACAACGATGATGACTTGCAAAGGGTGAGCTTTAACAAAGGAAGCACAAATGGGTGGGTGTGAATTGCATGTACTGCGTGAACCTTAGGCAGTAGGAATCAGCATTTTTATGTGAACCTGAGACACTAGGAATCAGTATTTTGTCATAAAGTAGTATCACATACTATAAAAGTGCATAGTGTCAAAGGAACATTGCCAGCATTCAAAATCATCTGTGTCAGCTAGGCAGTAATAATACTCTACAGGAGGGGTTCTCAACCTGTGGGTCGCAACCCCTTTGGGGTCACATATCCATTATCCTGAATATCAGATGTTTACATTGTAATCCATAACAGTAGCAAAATTACAGTTATGAAGTAGCAACAAAATAATTTTGAGATTGGGAGTGCAGTCACTACAACATGAGGAATTGTATTAAAGGGTCACAGCATTAAGAAGGCTGTACATACAGCATGTCTCTCTATTGTCTGTCCATCACTGAATACACTGGTAGAAAGTTTGAAATGAAAAAGAAAAGAAAAAAAGGGAGCTCCCTTATTTCCTCTGTTTAAAATCCAACAGAAAACAAACATCAGTTCTGTTCTACAGTAACATCTTCAAAGTACATCATTTGTACAGAAGGACTAAGACCCAAACTCTGTTTACAGAGATCCAAGCACGAGTGAGAGCACGTCCCTCACACGGCTTTCCGATGATACTCGGGAGGAACCACTTCGTAATCACTGGCACTGAGCAAAGTTGCAGGATCCTTCGCCAGGTACTTGAGGAAATCTTGAAACTCTGAGAGACTGCAGCATGCTGAAATTCTCATAGATGGCCCTGACGCACCCATGTCCCAGCTGCATGGAGCGACACATTTACTGAGACCATTTGCCTGGGGATCGAGTCTCAGGCCTCCACGAGCCATGGTGTCAGCTTTCAGGACTCTTTAGCTTCAGCCCAGTTCACAAACGTTTCTTTTTTTGCAGCAGTAGGATCCCCTCGGGCCCCCTTCCTCCCAGGAGGCTGAGGTGTCTCACTGGTCCTGTCTTCATCTCCATTTCCTGGAGTTTCCTGTCTGTTCCTTTTTGTTGTTTTTCTGTTGCAGGCCAGGAGCAGCCTCTCTCCTCTTGCCCTCTGCTTCCTTGTTCCTGATTGATTGACCTTTAACGTTCTCGCTGTTTCTGCACATTGGTGTCCAGAGACTTAAGTGCTCTGCTTTCTGGAACCCGTTTATCCCACTCCATCTGTTCCAACCACTGTGGTGTATGAAATATTGCCCTTGTTCGTCCTTTTGGTCCTTTACACACTTTGCTTCCTAGACAAGTGGTCCATGAAAGCACAGCACACCTCACCCTCCTGGAATTTAGGCTTTGGGTCTGCTTGGGTGCCATTTATAAATGATTCACCACCTGCTCCTTCTCCCACCACCCCCAATTACCACCACCTACTCTCTACCACATGCTACTTTCAAAGGCTGTAATTAGAACCATATAGTCCATCAGCCATTTGGGAGTATAGATCCCATTCATCAGGGAGACATGTCACTCCATACCATTAGGAAGAGAATGGTCACTGTGATTGCTCCATTTTCAGATGTCTCAGCCTTGATTGTGTATCTTTCAGTCATGTAACTTCTACTCCAACATGGAGGTATACCATCTTAACATGTAGAAAATGTAGCCACATTAAAATTGCCCCTGTAGATTCTCTAACCCTAGACAGATCAACCACAGTTGTGTGAACCATCATAGGGGTCATGAAACTACTACACCAGCTCATCTTTGTGTTTTAGGGTTAAACCAAATAAATTGAAAAGTCCACATAGTATTTAAACCACTTTATTTATAATTGCCCAAACTGGAAGCAATCAGATGTCCTCTAATAGATGAATGAATTTTATATAAAAAATTGTGTCCGTATAATTTTTATTCAATGATAAAAATAAGTGAGTTGCTGAACCATGAAACAGTATGACAGAACAGAAATCTAAGTCCATATTGCAACCACATACAATGGGTTTCATCTTGATGAATACAATACTAAAACAAGCATGGTCAAGAAATAATAACTGAGAAAGATTTGTTACCTGTAGCAGATAAGGAGAGCAAACAGCAATGCCTTCCTCAAAGACAGTGTAGGAATTTTACTTAGAAAGCCTACAAATATTAGTATAAGAAAGCACTGGGGGGGGGGGACACTTTCCTGAGCTTGCTCAGTTAAGGAGTAGATTCTTGAACATGCTCAGTTTTAAGTCATGCTTCATGAAAGAAAAAAGGCAGCCACATTGATGCATTCGTGGCCCAGCATCATAGATTTGAAATTGTAAAAATGGCAGATAGGAACACTTCGGGACATGCTCAATTTGCATCCTAAAGGAAAAGACACTTTAGTGGTAAATCAGTATAGAAGTCTACCCCTACAGCGCCTGCCTCGGTGTTGGTAACAGTATTGGTAAATGAAAAAAGTCTGAAAAGGCTGTGTGATCTCAACTACATGACAATGGGCAAGACAAAACTAGTGGGGGGAAGGTCAGTGGTTGTCCACAGTTCCCTGGAAACAGAATCATGGGTAGATTTTTTTTATTCATTTATTAAAGATTTCTGTCTCTTCCCCACCACTGCCTCCCATTTCCCTCCCCCTCCCCCAATCAAGTCCCCCTCCCTCATCAGCCCAAAGAGCAATCAGGGTTCCCTGCCCTGTGGGAATTCCAAGGACCACCCTCCTCCATCCAGGTCTAGTAAGGTGAGCAACCAAACTGCATAGGCTCCCACAAAGCCAATACGTGCAGTAGGATCAAAAACCCATTGCCGTTGTTCTTGAGTTCTCAGTAGTCCTCCTTGTCTGCTATGTTCAGTGAGACCAGTTTTATCCCGGGCTTTTTGCAGACCCAGGCCAGCTGGCCTCGGTGAGTTCCCAATAGAACATCCCCATTGTCTCAGTGTTTGGGTGCACCTATGGGTAGATTTTTGAGACAATGAAATTTTGATTTCATTTTGATGCTGTAGCAGTGAAAGATACATGTCTTTATAAGTTTGTCAAAGCTTAAAGAATATATGTTGAATCAGTTAGTAGACAATAGATTTCCTGTCCATTGTAAGAATTTACCATGTAGCACAAGAAGCCAATAGCAGAGAAAACTGTGCGGCAGAGAGCTGTGAAATATCTATTGTGCATTTCTGTAAACCTAAAACTTCTTAAAAAGTAAAAATCTATTGATTAACAATAATATTATATAAGAAGTACAACCCAGAAGTATTTCCTTTCATGAGTCGTTGGTTAAATAAAGTTTATTTATTAATACTTTGTATTAAGTGATCATAATTAGAAATAGATTTGTGTTTGACCTTTTGTTTCTTGAGGTACTATACTTTGGGTTGTCTTTAAGCAAGACAGAAATATAACGATATAAAATTAATTTTCAGAGCTAATGATACCCATAAGAGTTACAGAATTCCACAGATATATCGCTTGTTTATTTATTAACAAGGAATACAACCTCACTGTGTGCCAGGTGCTATACTCACCCTAACAGCACAGTAATGAACCAGACAGAAAAAATAAAACCGTGCTCTCCTGGGGCTTACCTTCCAACAACATATTCCCAAACATCTATAGTTTCTGTCATTCAGAAAATAAAAATACCATTTCTAAGTTGTATGGGACCACCTAATGATAAATAACTTTTGTAAATATCGTTCCCTTTAGAATTGGAATTGTCTATTCAAATAAAATAATGAAGTAAAAGCAATGTTGAAATTTTAAATTCTGAAAACTGTAATTATTATTATTTTCCTTTTCTAGTAGTCGAGGCTCTGACAGTTCAGAGTCTAATGACACTCCGACTTATCTTCTCAAGCTGACCTCTCAGGTATGATTTAAAAGTTTGCTTCAGTATGGATATGTTAAGCAGCTACACTGATTATTGTTATTACTAACAACCAGGAAAAGGTCTGTGCATCTGTCATTATTGTGCAGTAATAATTGTTTTCCGATTATGTACATATCTTTAAGTCATAGAAGTTTTATTCCAACCCCCTTACTTCATAGATGCCAGGAAGTGAATTAATTCTCAAATTCCACACCACTTGTTAATGCCACATGAGGTACACTAACATACATCATCTGGTTATTGACCTAATATTCATTTATTTAATTACACATATTGTTAACATTGTGCTCAAACTATGAACCAGGCATAGCCTAGGTGCTGGGAATAGAGCAGTGAAAACAATGAGTCAGAAATTCTTTCCTTTGCTTCCATATGTGCTAGTAGGGAGAGTGACACACGAAATAGGGAAACATACAGTTCAGTAGACGAGGGTGGGTGCCTGAAGATCACATAGACGAGGGTGGGTGCCTGAAGATTCGGTAGATGAGGGTGGGTGCCTGAAGATCAAATATAGATGAGGGTAGGTGCCTGAAGATCAAATAGACGAGGGTAGATGCCTGAAGATTCGCTAGATGAGGGTAGATGCCTGAAGATTCAATAGGTGAGGGTAGATGCCTGAAGATTCAATAGGTGAGGGTAGATGCCTAAAAAGAGAGAGTTCATATGGAGATCACAGTTTGCGTGGGCTTACTGAAGAAAGGATACTTAAGTGAGGGAATAAGCTCCTTTTCACTGTGTGACAAACAGCTTCAAAACCTTAGTAATTCCCAGTAAGCCTTTATTTTCATATACCATATTCACTAACAACCCATTAGCCACAGTAAGTCATATAGCCAGCCAGACTCAACATTCAACAGAATAGAGAGATATGTTCTACTTACCTTGAGAGGCTCTACAGCCTTCCACAGCGAAAACTGGGGATGCATAATCCTATTACAGAGGACAAAACATTTGGAAGCAGTGGTTTAGCATTCCACAGTTTACCTCTAGGTTACAGTTATTAACTTCCTGTCCAAAGGCTAAATTTACTAGTATTCGTTCCCTTTCCAAAACACCCAGAATCTCATCTGGGCATGGTTATTAGTCCTCCATCAAGTCCTACACCAGGCCTGGACCAAAACCTATAAAATAAGGCAAGTTATCTGCCCCTCTTGTGTACACCCATAATACTGGAACAGAAGTTGGGACATTATAATAGACATCCCATTAAAAATAAAGAATGGATAGTATATAACAGTCATAGAACCAAAACAATGCTGAGTTTGCATGCATGTGTGCTAGGGACCAAAGCCAAGGATTTGGGCATACAAGGCAAGAACCACAAATTTTTACTGTCCAGATATGGAGTAATCTTCTCTCCTGGGGATTAGAAAACATTTCTAAAGCTCAATTACCTTTTAATAGACTCTTCTGTTTGCTTTGCATGCATCTAGGGCGCACGGTTGCAGTGGGAGGAAAGGGGTCATTACTCCATCTTCTAGGAAGTGAGTCTCAAAATGCCTGTATTTAGACCCTCAAAATGACTGACTTTGATGTATTCGTTAAATACTAATTTAAAATACTCTTTTACGTAGGTGAAAAACAAGAAAAAGTATCTGAAAACAAAGAGGGAAAGAAATGCCACCTTAGCAAAGCGCTGGAATTATGCAAGAGAGGTAAATCATGATTACTGTAATGATGGGAAATGTTTTAAATATGAATACAAGAGAATAGCAAGTCATGTGTTCTCATTTTTCCTCAGAAAAAAACTGAATAGAACTTTGATCATATTATTTGCTATTTACAAAAACTCAAAAGATCCTTGACAGGTGAGAGACAGGTCTTGCGACATGTTCGAATTTCATTTGTATTTACTTTATTTTAAAAATATTTGAGAAAGCTTACAGAATGAATCTGTGATATTTAAAAAGAAATTTAAAAGCAAGGAAACCTAAGAAAATATGAAGGAATGAAAATAGATGGTGCCAAGAGATGGGCATCTAAATGACAGCCAAGATCTCAGCAAATCTCTTCACTGGCAAACTGGCAAACACTGCTTAACAAAGAAAGAAGAACAGCCATTAAAAGTCTAAGATTATACATAAAAAATAAGGTTAAAATAAAAAATAACTATTTAAAATATCCTCACGTTCATTGGAAATAGCAAGTCTGAGAATCCAAACTGTCCTTGTTCCACTCTTAGCTCAGTTAAACAGAAGTGCTACCGCAGAATAGTACAGCCAAGAAAACAGGTGACACCTTTCCCCACGGCTAGCAGAGGTCTATTCCCAGGAGGAGCAAGACATTGGTAATTTAGCCTCCAACTACCTATTTATGAGGCTAAGTTCAGGGTGAGTGCAGAGAAAAGGACAAAGAATCCTATTCCAACCCAAGTGTTTGGTTAGAGGTTTCATCTTGGGTTCTGCCCCACTGAATAAGTGACTCCTGGTCATTCTTGCCTTATAAAGTATGGATTCAGGTCCTAGAGACCTATGGCTGTGATAGCCAGGCTCCAATCAAAAGAGCATCATAGTCACCAGTCCCACCAGCCTGGGATTTTTTTTGCCTTAAGAGAGAGCCAGGCCATACAACAGAAAGCATCCTTGTCTCTTTCCAGAGAATTGATTTCATTTGCAACAGATGAAGAAAGCTTCCCTACTGGCTAAAGTTCTATCATTCTCTTTTCCATAAAAACAAACAAACAAACAAACAGGGATATAACTGTGTCACTATGCATTAACCCTATTTCATAGTCTAGTGCTACTGAATTATATGTACTATATTATGGCAAAAATGCTTTTCATTTATCTTTCCCTCCTCAGACCTTTTAGAAAATTCTTTATAATATTAGGCAAAGAAACAAAATGTTTAAAATGTTTTCATTCACAATGATCTGTATATTAGTCAAGGTTCACAGTCAAAAGTTTAGTGTGCATCTCTTTTAGTCTAGAATGTCAGGTTTGTGTTTCCTCTCAAAAGAGAAAGCAGTATACTTGCAGTTTCCTTTGTTTTAGAGTTCTTTACAAAGCTCAAGAAAATATTCTTTACCTAATGTATATAGACATAGTTCTGAAATTTGTTGATACATTTTTCACACAAATGTGTATATTTTCATCTATTTCGTACTCTCAACTTCTAATTTAAATAATTCTAATTTAACATTTTTATCTCTTTGTCAAGATATATGAGTGCTGTATGAGGAAAAAATCTCTCTTTAGTAATAAACAAAAATACTGATTTTTCCTGCTATTTATTAATGAAAGAAAAATGAAATAAAAATAAATAAGAAATGTTTGTTGAAAACCCTTCCTACATATTATAATCAAGTGAGAAGCATACCGCAGTTTCATGTTTATATCATCCTACTTTCTGATTCTCTGTTCCATTAGGTTTATGGTAAAGAACATTTGCTCCAAAGACACGAAGAATCACATTCTGATGTGAAAGGTAAACTTCTGTTTTACCTTCTCACAAACAATTTATTCAGCAACACTCATTTTATGCCATAACTTTGAGGTTGGCACTTGGTGCCAAACATTCTTTTTTTTAATTTTTATTTACATTTTTTGTTGTTGTTTTCTTTCAAGACAGAATTTCTCTGTAGCTTTGGAGCCTGTTCTGGAACTCTCTCTGTAGACCAGACTGGCCTCGAACTCAGAGATCCGTGCCTGCCTCTGCCTCCCGAGTGCTGGCATTAAAGGTGTGCTCCACCACTGCCCTGCGCCAAAGATTCTAAGATGTATATGATGACTGACAAGATGGCTCAGCTGGCAAAGGTGCTTGCCACACATGCCTGGCAACCTAAGTATGATCCCTAAGACCCACATAAAATTGGAAGGCAAAAGCCAATTCCACAAAATTGTCCTCTGCACTCCACATGCTCTCTCAGTGGCATGTACTCTGCCCACACAAACACTTCATGTGTGCACACATGACACAACAATGATTAGGAAATAAGTATGTTTTAAAGAAATATATGATACCAGTTCTTCCTTTCAGGAGCTCATCTTCTAACCAGGGAAGAAAAGCAAGTAAGCAAGCTCTGTGTTGCAGGTACAATGCCCGTAGTGAGAGCCGTGTCCCCAGGGACCAGTGACAGGAGTAGTCAGTGACCCTGAACAGCAGAGAGCCCGCATATTTGAGGCACATTCTTCGGGTTGTGGACAGTTGCTCTCAAAGAGAATATAGGGATGTCATGTTTTTTAGACTGTCTACTCCTGTCATTTCCTAATTTAATAGAGTACGATCCCAGGAAAGAAATTAAATCTGCAGCATTCATTTGTTTGTGCTGCAAGGTGCTGTCTGATGTGTGTCTTTAATAAATATATATGTATTTATGTATGTACATTATGTAAACAAAAATAATTATTTAATTTTATGTATGTGTGTGCTAATTTATTATACATTTATGCCACCATTATCTCCCCAAAAGGAGTTGAGGTAACCTAATTAAAATATATACATAAATGTGTGCATAAATTCATTCAGTCTGTGAAATAGGAAACTAAACATTGAAAGATAAAAACCTTACCACGAACAGGGGAGGTTAGATAAGATTAATTTCACTAGAACTTTAAACTAGTCTCTCTTTCTGATAGTGATCGCTAAGGAATTCATTGATTTTATTTAATATAACTTTTGTTTAAAATGTCAGAAATCAGAAATAAAGATAAACACAAAAGGAGCTAGGAACAAAGCTCCATCGTAACATGTTTGTTGCTCAAGCATGAGTTCCTGAGTTTGGACTCTCAGAACCCATGTAAATCAGACACAGGAGCACACAACTGTAATTACAGTAGACCGAGGGTAAGATAGGAGAAGTGTACAGGAGAATCTCCATAAGATTGTACGCCAGATACCTTGGCACTTGGCACATGCAGAAACAAACAAGAGACCCTGAGGTAGTCCCCTGACCTCCACACATATGTTATGGCATGCACATGCCCACATTCGTGTGCACACAGACACACAGACACACACACACAAATTTTTTAAAAGATAAACTCTTAGAGAAGGAATTGTTTCCCCAGAGGTATAAATACTTGAAATACAACAAAATTTATATTTGAAGATATTATATGTTAATTTCATTGAGTTCAACTACTATTCACACATAATTTGAACTTTTCATTTTGAAAGGAGATACAAAATATTAATGAACTGTCAATAATCCATCATTCCTTTCTATTTGCTATGATCCTTACCGTCTTCTCTAGATCCAAGGCCAGCTGTGCCGGATGTTTATGTGGCTCATTGTTTCAGAAGACCATTGCCTAATCAAGGCTTGGGTAAGTAAAGAGGGCTCAGAAACGTGTGAGCACCTATAATCTGAACATGTGCAATAATAATAATTTTTATCTAATCAAGATCTACATATTTTAAAGAATAAGATGTTATCTTAAAAATAGATTGCCAACCAGTAGTTCACCTTAACAGAAACTTAGGAGCTTGATTTTTTTTTTTTTACTGCTTTCTGGCTCTAGAAATGCTTAGAAAAAAACAACAGAAATTGGATATACATGAGTTTGTTTTTTAATTTTGTATTTACCTCACACACACACACACAAACACACTCCCTTTTCTACATCTATGTCTTTTGTTTTGTTTTGTTTTGTGACTAAGTTTAACTGGAACTGACTTTGTGAGCATAGATTCACAAGTGACTGTTGGAGCTTGGTTGGATTGGCAGTGGGTACACAACTGAAGACAGTGACTCCCCTTCTTCCAGAAGCTACCAGGCAACACAAACGGGTAGGGCTCAATGAGCCCCTCCCTATGCATGACTAGTTATGGACATGAATCTGTTTCTTATAGTTTTATACTACCAGAAAGAGAACAGAATGTTTTACCTCATTATATCTAATATTTGCACTTACATCTCATCAAGTCCTAAGGCATAGATAAACTTTGAGAGTACTCTAGTCTGAGCCCTAATTCATTAGTCCGAATTCATCAGGCTGATACAACTTTTGACCACAAGTTGTTTATTGAATTGCAATACAGTTCATTCTGTTGCTAAAGAGCGTCAGCAATGAAGCAACTATTGTGAAAGAGCTTTCAGTTGAGGAAATTGAAAAGATAATGAGTACCATCCCGATGCCTGCCTGACCTAATCTTCTTTCTCTCAAGAAGGCTAAGGGACTATGTTGTTTCACTGACAATTAAAGGACATATCTAACTATTTAGGAAGACAGATATCTAAAAATAGGGCCCAGGTGGATATGGCAGGCCACTGAGGGCAGAAGTGAGATCCCCAGTAGCTGGCTTGAGTAGACGAATCAGGAAGGTCTGGGTTCAGGTAAGAGACCTCATCTCCAAATATAGGAATACGACAATCAAGGAAGACACAGGACATCAGTCTTTCACACAGGCACACACACACACATGCACACGCACACACAAACGAACAATAGAAGATATGGTACAACATGGAGAACCTAATTTGAGATTGTCAAGGAAAATAAACTGAGTAGAATTGATTTGGACACTTAAAATGTACTAGGGAGACAGAGCTACTCTCACATACATCCACAGTGAAGTCTTGAACTCTGTTCCAACACAAGTACCGCAGATGAAGCTGAACTTAGCGCCTGGCATACTTCAGATTCCTAAAACATAGTTTATTAAATTCTACTAACTTTTGCACAATAGGCCCCTCCCCACAAACTACCCAGAGAATGCTACATACAATATACTTTTTGCAAGGCAATTTAACTTAGCCAGAACAAATCATTTCAAATCCCTCATGCAGCTTAAAACTATAAATGCAGCCATAATTTTGTAAACCTCAGAGCACTTACTCTGGGCTACTAGACTATGTCCCAGGTGGCCATCCTCACTTTAAGTTGAATAAATCATTTGTTCTCACATTTGGTGTGCCTTCACTTTACCTGTTAAGTTGACAGAAGCATCCTCAAGGAAAGGAGGTAAAAACATGTAGGGAGACTAAGTTTCATGAGTCTGGGATTAAGAACTAATCAAGAACTAAGTCATTTGAAAATATTTCCACGTTCCTGCAAAACAATGTCGGTCAAAATAATAGATGATGATCTCACTTGCATATTAATTGAGGGATATGCAGATCTCATATATAGAGATTTTGAGGCTGGCTAAACTACATAAGACCATACCATTAAAAAGAGTTGACGTCTATATCAGAGGAAAGAAATATTATAAAGTAGATTTCATCACTATATCCTGATTAACTTGTTCTGCTGTTAATTATGATTGCCACTGTTAACTAGTTCTATTATTATTTTGCTTAAATAATAAAATATATATATATAATAGCAAGGAAGATAATATATAGTAATATATAATTTAGGCCCCAATTTTTATTTTAAAATATTTTCATAATAGTTATTTGATATACATATCTAATACATCTGCATCCTAGGTCAACTCTCTAAAATGTTGATCATATCAGTGTATATGTAAATGTCCTTCACAAGTTTGGGGTTGTTTTATTTTGATTTTTGGTGATGGTGGTTGTTTCTTCTTCTCCTTCTTCTTCAACTTCCTTTTTGTTTGTGTCTTCAGAGCCTCTCACATGCTAGGCAAAACCTCTGCCACTGAGCTATACTCCCAGCCCATAGATTACTTTCCAATTGGTAATTAATATATAGATATTATTTTTCTATTTATTCTTCTTTTAGAACAGTCTTATTAAAAGGCTCACTAGAGGAAAATGTGCTCATATATTTCATGTATATGAACAAAACATTATTAAACTAAAGATGAACTAAATTATCTAGCCATTAAGTGTACATAAGTAATTACCAAGAAAATAAGAAAAATTAACATCTGTTGATCTTAAAATGTAACTAGATATCTTATGCTATATTATTCTTTTTAGTGAAGATTCCTGGGCATAGCTTTTATGCCCGAAAAACGCACCCAAGGTAGGTGAACTGTTCTTGATTTCTCCTAAACATATTGTTCTTTTTCTTCTATCTTAGAATGTTTTGATTTTGAATTAAAGCAACAGATAAGGTTACTCTTTTAAAAAAAATTGTTGATCAAACATTTTTTTAGATCCTACCTGTCTAGTTCACTCTAAAATGTAAGAGCACTCACAGATGCAGTTTTAAGGGTTCTGAGACAATTTTAATATCCCCAAATTTTAAAGTCTTAGCTAAATGTTTATGATTGAATTATCTGGCTTCTCATTTTAAAAATAAAACTTTCTGGCAAATTCATTATCGCTATCGCTGTAGAATGCATACACAGCAAGCATGTGTTTTACTACCGTCTCATAGTTTATGGGCCATCCGTCACACAGAGATAAAACTAGTGTCTATGGAAAAGGCATAGAAAGGGAAGTCACAGATTACATTGACCAGCTTTGAATCTCTGTCTCAACTAGTCACTATTATATCTCTATTACCTTTGGCCAATTTTTCTGTCCATAGGAATAATGATATCAACCACTGTCTGGACGGTGACTTAGACAATCACAGATAAGCCTCTGAGAATTCACTGAATTTGCACAACTATGTAATTTTATTATAAGAGATACAAGAGGCTTTCTCTTCCTTGCTTGGCTTCTTTCTCAAGAACCTGATTTCTGTTCAACAATAGAAAAGGTTCTGTTTGAGTGTGTACTCTCTTATTCCAAAAGCCTAGAGAACTGGTTACATAAGTGATAATATGACAGGCATCTTTAGACATAACTATACTTGGACCTAGAATTAAGAATTTTAAGATAAGCTATTCTATTGAAAGAAATCAAATGATAAATATCTAGATAAGAAACGATGGGGAGTTGGGCAGTGGTGGCACATACCTTTAATCCCAGCACTCAGGAGGCAGAGGCAGGTGGATCTCTGTGAGTTCAAGGCCAGTCTGATCTACAAGAGCTAGTTTCAGGACAGCTATGACTGCTACACAGGGAAACACTGTCTCAAAAAGAAAAAAGAAAAAAGAAAAGATGGGCCCGAAGAAAGGTCTCAATGGTTAAAAGCATTTATTGTCTTCTAGAGGACCTGTACAGCTGACATGTGGTACACATAAATTCATGCATATACAAACACATGCACATAAATTAAAATATATATTTACAAAGAGGACAGGAAAAGCACTGGAATTAGAAGACAGGATTATTAGATTTGATGCTGCCTCTTATTACCTGTATGATCATAAGAAAATTGCTTAATCTTTATTATCTCCCTGTGGGACTAGTACTAGTTATCCAGCCTATATCACAGGCTGGTGAGAGCTCAGCGATTACATACTAAGGAATAAAATGCAAATAGAAAAACTGCATTACTCTTGTGTAAGTAGTTGACATTGAGATTACAGTACTCAATTTCTTTCAGCTCCCAACATGTGAGTCAGAGTCTTATCAAAGACCAACGGACATATATTTTAGAAACTTGTAAGGGTCCAATCCAAGAAGCAGTTCAGTCCAAAGGAATCGAAATGTATGAGAGTTGTTTCAAAGTGGCATCCTTGAAGTGTCCTGTGAACAAACAAACTTCAAATTGGATTGAGAAGACAAGAATACCAACAGGTTTTTTTAAATTGTTGTTTAATACTTTAATAATACACAAAGATTCTTTATATTATGTCATCATAATAAATCTCATCCAATCCCAATTATGGGAACTACATTAGTAAACAGAGAATTCATAACCATTGCCCTCTTGTGTCTGGAAAGTACTTACCTGGTGCAAGAGAATTGTCTGTATTCTGTCAATCATGTTTTAAATAAAATTATTGGCCAGGCAGGAAGTATAGGTGGGTAAAACAGAAAGGAAGTAGAACAGGAGAATTCTGGGAAGGAGGAAGCCCATTCCTTCCCAGTCCTGCCCAGACCACGGAAGAAGCAAGATATAATCTGCCCGGCTGAGAAAGGTACCAAGCCATGTGGCTAATGTAGATAAGAACATGGGTTAATATAAGCTACAAGAGCTAATAAGAAGCCTGAGCTAATGGGCCAATCAGTTTATAACTTACATAGACCTGTGTGTGATTTTCTTTGGGACTTGCCGCCTGTGGGGTACCAGGCAGGACAGAAACCCCAACAAGCCGGCCCACATGTTACACTTACCTTATTTTATATCTGAATGAGCACATTTAAAAATTCTTTGGTTTAATATAGCCTTGAAAAAATTAACTGCATCCTTCAAAATAGCTCTATTATCACTATCCTACAACCAAGGAACTTTGTCTTAATGCTATGATCATCTTTTGGTAGTTTCTGCTTCCCAGGCATGGGGTTTTTCAGTTGTAAACAACCTTTAACTTTGTGTCTCTAAAGTGGCCCCCAAACAATTGAAAACTTCTGTAGGCCATAATACTGTCTAGAGATGTGTCCAAGAACTACCCCTTACAGAAGCCCAAAGAACACTGGTCCAATTCTCATTAATCATAGTAACAGATGTAGGGTTAAGTTGTAGAGGTAAAACTAAAGTCAACTTCAACTTCATTCTACTTAATGAATCTAAAAGTCATGCTAAATTTAAAAAAAAACAGACATAGGCTGGGCAGTGGTGGCACACACCTTTAACCCAGCACTTGGGAGGCAAAAGCAGGTGGATCTCAGTGAGTTGGAGGTAAGCCTGGTGTACAAAGCAAGTTTCAGGACAGTCATAACTGTTACACAGAGAAACCCTGTCTCAAAAAATAAAAAAGATGAAAGAAAGAAAGAAAGAAAGAAAGAAAGAAAGAAAGAAAGAAAGAAAGAAAGAAAGAAAGAAAGAGAGAGAAACAAAGAAAGAAACAAAGAAAGAAAGAAAAAAAGCCTGACATAAAATAGAAAATGCTGTATGATTGCATTTATATGAAAGCAACGTTTACTGGAGAGAAAAATAAACAAATACAGTTCCCTAGAGTAGGAGCTATATGGAAAACTGGATATACCATAAAAATCCATTTAGGGATGATCTTTCCTATATTCTGATTGCAGTAATGATTTCACAAGTCTTGACAGCTGTTGGAATGTCATGGTCTTGGATCAGTACAACCAGCTTAATGGAAGTATTACCTAGTGAGACAGGAAAGACTAGGGATGGAGCTGCAATCTTGTCTAGACACACTACATTGGAAGTGTCTCTTAGTTGTTGAAGTTGAGCTACTGAATAGACTGCTGATTGTTAGCATCAGTAAAGAGAATTGAACGTAGGATATATTTGGGAATTTTGAAAACATAGACCATGGTTTAAAGCATGCTCTGAAAGGCATTTATAAGGAAGTGAGCATGCTTTATAGACAAAAAATAACAAAGGACCAAATCTCCAAGACACCCTTCCATGATGGGTCCAAAAAAGAATAGGAACTGAAACAGAAGACTCTGAGATAGGAGGTAGTATACAAGGAAAACCTATAGGAGAGAAATGCAGAGAATATGCAGTCCTGGAAGCCAAGCAAGAAAGCGTCTTGTTGTCTGAGGTTTTTGTCCTGCCCAGTTCCCACAATCGTTAAGTCCCCAAAAAAATCACACAGAAGTCTACATTAGTTATAAAACTGATTGGCCATTAGCTCAGGCTTCTTATTAACTCTTATAACCTATATTAGCCCATTATTCTTGTCTATGTTAGTCATGTGACTCGGGACCTTATTCAGTGATGTAGTCACATCTTGCTTCTTCTGGGGCGGGGCCAAGACTGCAGAAAAAGCTTCCCTCTTCCCAGAATTCTCCTGTTCTTATTGACCCATCTCTACTTCCTGTCTGGTTGTCCCACCTATACTTCCTGCCTGGCTACTGGACAATTAGCATTTATTTAAAACATAATTGACAGAATATAGACAATTGTCCCACACCAGTGTCAAGTAGGAAAGAATGGTCAGCTTGAGTCTGAGAGTTCTGATTGATGAGTTGAAATGGACTGACTTGAATTTTATAACATTGGATGTTCTGGGGATCTTGATTGGAGAAATTTTGGTAGAATGCTAGAGGTACCAATACAACTGAAGTATGCCTAGGGATGGGAGAGAAAAGCTGGAGGCTTTCTACAAAGCCTGAAGACCTGAGATCAACCGCCTAGAACTCACCTAGAGACAGAGGAAAAACAACTCCACGAAGTTTCCTCTGCTCTCAACATGTGCATGACCTTCTCCACACACACCATTCATATAATAAAAACATTTTAATGTAATTTAGAAACTGAAATAATTGTTTTCAACCTTATCTACAGTTTAACTAAAATCGTCTTCTCTCCATACTACTTTATTTTATAAACAAATATCCTATTGAGTCCTGATGAAATTAAAATAAAAGTTATGTTTCCCCTCTTCTCAAAATATATCTGTTTCAAAAGGAGCTAGCACCCTTTCCTTTTCTACTCTGCATTCCCTTTAAAGTACCATGTCTTCATCATCGCTCTTCTGTCCTTTCCCGTTATTGAACTTACCAAGAAGAAAATACGTGGATTATATAAGGTCCAGTCAGACTCTAGTTCTGGAACTGTTTGTGTTTACTAATGAGAGATAGTACAAAAATGAGTTTTGCCTGCCAAAGCAGAGTGGAGAAGTAAATCCATAACAAATACTGCCAACATTTTTATGTCTAAGTATTCTTTTCTTTGGGCTTAACTAACACAAATGCCATACTCCTACATTGCCTACTCTTCTACTTATCCAAACCATCAGCTCTGGAAATAAGTCATGGCGCCCAGCAGTGATTTCCTTTTGGGATGTTTCACTCCCACAGATTTTCTGCTTACACTCCATAACTACTTTTCCTAATATCACTGATATATCTTAAATATTGATGAGGCCTAAGCAACAAAAGGAAAACAAATTGCAGCTGAACAATGGGTTAAAGAAAGAGTTTCTTGCTCTGTTCTCTCTCCATTGGGGAATATTTATGTTTTTAAAAAGAAGTCCACAAAAATATGCCCACAAATGCCTTAATATCCATGCCTTAATCCCCCACACCTATGAATCAAAGGACATTTGAAGACTGTTTGGGGGGTTCTTTTATTTTCTATTAATATTCGTGTTGCTTTTTCTTAAGAAAGACTTTTTTTTTAGCTGAGTGGTGGTGTCACACACCTTTAATTACAGCATTTGGGAGGCAGGGGCAGATGGATCTCTGTAAGTTCAAGGATAGATAGCACTGTTTCATAGAGAAACCCTGTCTTGGAAAACCAAAAAGAAAAAAGAAAAAGGAAAAAGGAAGAAGGAAGGAAGGAAGGAAGGAAGGAAGGAAGGAAGGAAGGAAGGAAGGAAGGAAGGAAGGAAAGAAAGAAAGAAAGAAAGAAAGAAAGAAAGAAAGAAAGAAAGAAAGAAAGAAAGATTTTTTAAACCATCCAATGATCCAATGGGAGTTCCATATGATTCATCTACACTATATGTAACAGAAATGTCATCAAGTTTGTAATTTATGGAAATACATAATCCTACTATTTTCTTTTGGTAGGGTTTCTTCATCTTCTCTGTGAGAGGCTATTCAATGCCTGTAGTCACATTATATGGCACTAGAAGTCATAATCTAGGCATGTAAACATAAGCAGAGCTGAGCAGATAGGGGACCTATGCTGACCCAATTCCAAATTTAAGGGGTATAATTTTAATTCCAGCTCTTGTAACCACATGTAAATCTCTAGCAATCCCATTCATTCTTTATTGCTTAATTGCCTGCACAACAACTGTGATGGCTATTCTTGGTTGTCAGCTTGACTATATCTGGAATGAACTTGGCCATCAAGGTCTTTAGCATAAGCTATCATTGGTGTTTTTGATCTTAGCCATTCTGACAGGTGTAAGATGGTATCTCAGAGTTGTTTTGATTTGCATTTCCCTGATGGCTAAGAATGTTGAACATTTCCTTAAGTATCTTTTGGCCATTTGAGATTCTTCTCAGTTTCAGGAGATCCCATTAATTCATTGTTGCTCTCAGTGTCTGTGCTACTGGTGTTATATTTAGGAAGTGGTCTCCTGTGCCCATGCATTGAAGGCTGCTTTCCACTTTCTCTTCTATCAGGTTCAATGTGGTCAGATTTAAATTGAGGTCTTTAATCCATTAGGACTTGAGTTTGGTGCATGGCAATAGGTATGGATCTATTTTCATTCTTCTACTTGTTGACATCCAGTTATGCCAGAACCATTTGTTGAAGATACTTTTTTCCATTGTATAATTTTAGCTTCTTTGTCAAAAATCAGGTGTTCATAGGTGTGTGGATTAATATCTGGGTCTTCAGTTCGATTCCACTGTCCTCCTACAAGTGTTGCTTATTCTCTGCCTCTCAACGTCTCTGCTCTCTTCTTCCCAGCATTCTTTCTGTCCTGAAAATCCTGCCTAGTTATTGGCCATTTAGATTTTTATTAAACCAATCACAGTGACATGTCTTCACACAGTGTAAAGGAATATTCCATAACAATTTACCTCCTAACTTGTCCCCACAACTTCCAACTCAATTTATTTATCCTATTCTTTTATGCTTCTGCCATGATTTCAAAAATGAAAATCGATTACATAACTTCCTTGAATAAAATTTTCAATGTTCTGAGCTATTCGATTTCAACCATATGCATTGATCATCTTCTAATCACAAAGCCTTCTTATTTCAGAGAAACTGCTGAAAGTGTTACTGTTGCAAACAAAGCCTCTAGTTGTGAGCAACTTTATCACACTTTACGTGACATCTGTGCCATTCATTTTAAAACAAATCTGTGATTTTCTGAATGTGCCATGTTAGTCTACTATACAGATCAGGTCTTCTTAAACTTTCCATCTATGGCTCCTCCAGCTGAAAAACTTTTACAACTCAAAAAATTATAGATAATAAATCAAAAATAGAATTTCATTGATGCTTCAGCTTCTCTTTAGTCTTGACCCAGCATAATGAAATTAAGGATTATGTTTTCCATATTTAATTACCAGCTAATCAAAGTGCTAGGCACGCAGTAGATATTCAGTGAGTGTTTGCTCAATACCTAGTAGTGGCTTCTAGAGATACTGAATACCAGTTCATTTGTCAGGATTGACAGATACTGTCGTCATTATTTTTCAGATTCAGCTGGATGTATGAGTGTTTTAGTGTTCTGTTTATTTTCTTTTTGGTAGTAGGCAGGTCTATTTTAAAAAGGCACTTCATTGGAGAACTTTTCAAACATAAAAGTAGAGTGCAGAATAATGAATTCACAGGGCCCACCACCCTCCTTTATTAGGTTCCTGATTTTTTGTTTTATCTATATTTCCACCACATTTTCCTAGAGTATTTTAAAGCAGACTCCACAAATTAAAATTTTGCCTGTAAATAATCTAGTATATATCTCAAACTGGATAATCACTTTAAGAAACAACAAAGCACAGTGTATTTTCTTGACTTAGTTTTAATTGTGATTTACTTTTCCTTATGTTGTTAAATAACAATTTACATGTAAATGATCCCGCCCCTCTCTTTAAGATGCAAGACTAATAGTCAGCCTTCCTTCTGGGGTTTCTCTTTGTTCTGTTCCTGAGTATGTTAATTTTATTTTAATTGTCATAAATTTTATGTAATATAAAATTTTCCCTCAATGATTTTTAAGGGTATAGGTCAGTAGTGTTAAATTCTTTGGCATTGGGCCTGGAGAGATGGCTCAGCGGTTAAGAGCATTGCCTGCTCTTCCAAAGGTCCTGAGTTCAATTCCCAGCAACCACATGGTGGCTCACAACCATCTATAATGAGGTCTGGTGCCCTCTTCTGGCCTGCAGGCACACACACAGACAGAACATTGTATACATAATAAATAAATATTTAAAAAAAATTCTTTGGCATTATTCTGCAAACAATCTTAAGACTTTTTAATCTTAAAATATGGAAACTATGCATATTAAACAGCTCCTTGCTTTTCCTTCTCTCAGCCCCTGCAAACTATTCTACGTATTGGACCTAGACATTCCCTATAAGTTAAGTTAAATATTTAGAAGACAGATATAGTATTTGTCTTTAAGGACTACCTTCTTTTACTTAACACCATGACTTCTAGATTTAACAATGTCAGTATTTCCATGCACTTAGATTGCTCTCAATTTGTGAATAACGCTGCTGTGGACGTGGGGGACAAATGTGTCTTTTAGGCCATGCTCTCAATTCTTTTGGGATTGATGGAATCTACTTGGAAATATGATAAATGTGTTTTTAGCTTTTTGTTTATACTGTTCTCCACATTAGCTGCACCATCTTACACTCCTCATCAACAGTGCACATCTGTGTTCAAAGCCCTCCCATTAACACTCATGGTTCTTATGATGGCCTATGACAGTGGTTCTCAACCTGTGGACCACAGCCCTTTTGAGGATGGTCAAATGACCTTTTCACAGGGGTCAGATATTCACATTATAATTCATAACAGTATTACATATTACATAAAATTACAATTATTAAGTATCAATGAAATAATTTTTGGTTAGAGGGTCACCACAACATGAGGAACTGTATTAAAGGGTTATTAATAAGGAAGGTTGAGAAGCACTGACCTCTGAGGTCCTACATTGTCTAAATTCACACTGCTACCTGATTTATAGCCTTCCTTTCATTCACTTGCTTTAGCCACCGATGTTGTCTTCGTGTCCTCAACATGCTGCCATATTACCATCTTAGTAAGAGCTTTTGCTCTTGACTGTCCTTTGTCCAAAATGTCTTTCCCATGGTATCTGTTTGGCTTAATCCATGACTCCTATGATACATCAGAGTCATGAATAGACCTTCTTATTGAATGTGTAAGTCAATCATCTTCTACCCTAGAATTCTCCATTTCCCTCCTTAGCCTTATTTTACCCTGTAAACTTTATTACTTAACATACTAGGTATTTTACTTACCCATTGTTATCAACCATAAACTTTAGATAGCAAAGACTTACTGATAAAACCCCTCATGTGGAATTTGGCTTATAACAAAATTGCTGAATGAATATACTCATATGTATATTCACATGTGTATATGTGTATATATGTATATGTATATACATGCATATGTGTATATATGTATGTGTGTATGTATGTATATTCACATGTGTATATGTGTCTATGTGTATATATGTATGTATGTATGTATATTTGTGGTTGCTTCCTAGAGTCACATCATGGACTGAAAAGCAAAGTAAAAAGATGTGCATCTTTCCAAAGCAAGAGGTCCGGCACAAACTGGACAGATGATGAAAAAAGAATCTACAGGGATAAAAGAATAGCTCAGACCCAGGAAATACTACAGTATTTACTCCCTATCGTGGAATCCTCTAAAAGCATGAAATCTACTCAAATGAAAGACCTGTTCACTTCAGGAGCCGACTTGCAGCAACATCAGTAAGTCAATGGCATTCATCATGCTTACCTATGTATTGCTGGGAACAAACCCAGGACCTTGTTAGACTATGCAAATGTTCTACCTCCAAGCCACCCCCAAGCCTGTTCCTTACTATTTAATACAGTTTTATAAGTAAGTATAGCTTGTTAGTTCAATATCTTTAGTAACAAACATAGGCTTTTAAAAACCGCATCCACAACATCACAAAATCCAAGGCCATAATTATATACTAGGTATGTAAAGGGTTAAGTTATCAGGCGTTATTATCAGGCATTATCTGACCTATTTCTCATATAAAATACTTTAGTTTCTATCTGTAAAGTAAGTATGCATAAATAAGATGTAACTATAGCATGACTTGACGATTTTCAAATATTTTAAAACTTTATACTTCTGAGGGAGGGTAGTAGGATTAAAATAATTAGTCTTGGCGACTTCAACTATTTGGTACTCTTTGGAAACAATAATAATTAGATTATTTCTTTTAAAAATGGGAAACAGAACCTTCTCTAAGGCACAAAGGAAAACTACATAAATAAAAGTAAAGATAATAAAATCTGAAAATAATAAATATATTAGTATTATCAACAACATTTTATAAAATATTTCCTATGTACTAGATATTTTTCTAAGTTATATGCTTATGACCAGCATGGCCCTATATTTACAGTTTCCACATCCCTGGATATAACTAATCTCGGCCCTAAATATATTTCTAATCTCTTCTTGGTTGAATCTGCAGATATAGAACCCCCCAATACAGAGGTCAGACTGAGTACCTTATATTTTACATATAACAAGATTAAGATGAAAAGACATTAAACAACTTTTTCAAAGTCACACAATAGGTAGAAGAATTTGGATTCAAATTGTTAAAAATTTTGATTTCAGAGTCCAGAGTACATACCTACAAATTAACTGGAAAATTGCAGAGATTTTAATGGGGAAATAGGCAAAGATTATAACCAAGCAATTCACAAAAGAAATACCATGACCAGTGGCTGGAGAGATGGCTCAGTGGTTAAGAGCACTGATTGGTCTTCCAAAGGTCCTGAGTTCAATTCCCAGCAGCCACATGGTGGCTCACAACCATCTATATTGAGATCTGGTGCCCTCTTCTGGCCTTCAGGAATACATGCAGGCAGAACACTGTATACATAATAAATGAATGAATAAATAAATAAATCTTTAAAAAATAGAAAGAGAGAAAGGAAGAAAGAAAGAAAAGAAAATATTATGGCCAACAAACATTTAGAAATGTTCAATCTTGCTAATTTGAAAATTACAGATTAAAGCAGTGATAAAACAGCATTTAATTTTTTGCTGTTCAGTGGGAGAATCTATTCCCTGACTGTGGGACACAGGCTGGTAGTTTCCAGAAGGCATTTCCTCAATATAAATGAAAACCCCTGATTTCACGTTATTCTTCCCTTCTCCTCCTGTTCGTGGTGTTCAGGGCTGAGCCGTGGGCCTCACCCATGCTCCTGAGTCACCATCGCACCACCCTTCTTGACTAAAGGAATTCCACTTTGGGAAGTTTACTTTAAGGAAAAAAAAATAAGAATTATAAGGCATATTTAATGTTCATTTTGTCATTGTTTATAGGAGATAAAAAATAAATATAAATGTTCAAGAATAAAAATACTGCTTAAATTAATTATGAAATATTGTGTAGTATTTCAATATTGCAAGTGAATATTGTTATGATTCAGCCACAATATGGCTGACACTTCCTGGTTCCAGGGCCATGCATGTGCAGATAAGCCCTCAGGCGTGAGCCCTTGAGCACATGCATGAGCTCCGTCATCTGCATATGATGTGACCACTCCATCCCCCTGCCCCCCCTCCCTCCCTCTTTCCCTCCGTCCCTCCCTCCCTCCCTCTGTCTCTGCACACCGATTCCCCAGGCCTGTACACCCTCTCTAATAAACTCCTAAGCGGGTTTGTTGTGTGCTCCGTGTTTCCTTCTCACTCATGCCAGGTAATTTCAAATATTGATTAATAAAAAATGACGTTCATAATATCTGTGTGTAACATGGGCTTTATACCCACTTTATTTGGTGTGATTATGTGTACATGTACGTATGCATTATACACATTCAAATACAATGGAGAAGAAAAACTCTAGGAGCACATATCCTCAAAAGTGATTATTTCTGGATGGGTATTAGTGATAAATAATGTTCCTCTTCGTGATGTTTATTCCTTTACTGTATAATCATCAAAACCAATATGATAAAAAATGGGCAGTAGGTGGCAATTTCTAGTGAAATGCTGTCACAGTCGTGGTGGGAAAGACCCTATTTGACAGGAATTGAGTTTCATAATTAGGCAGCTAAAATGTGAAAAAATAATGTGAACCTAGGCAGGCAAACAGAGTATAGAGTATAATATCAGCAAAATTATGAATGAGGGTGCTAAAGAAACAGCTAAGTGACTAAGAGGCTACACTGCTCACGCAGAGGACCGAAATTTAGTTCTTAGCTCCCACATAGTGGCCAACAGTTGCCCCCAGTCCATCTCCAGAGTATTGAACACTTTCTTCTGGTCTCCACAGGCACATTCCCACACAGACACACATACATACATGTAATAAAAAAATTAGATCATTTTAAAGGTTATAAATTAAGGCTGGAGAGATGGCTCGCCAGTTTAGAGAGCTGGCTGCTCTTGCAGAGGAGCCACACACACTTGCCAGCACCCACATGGTAGCTCACAACGATCTATAACTCCAGTTCCAGGGATCTCACCCTCTTCAGGCCTCTGTGGGTACCTGCACACACATGCTGGGAAAGCACATGGCTGCAAGCATAAACACATAGAAAATATTTTTTGAAATTACAAATTAGGAAAACTAATTGCAAAATATAATAGATATTGGTGAAGAGCCTGAGAAATTGAGACTCCAGAATAAGCAAAAGGTCTAGGCAATAATTTTCTAGTTGTTGTAATAAAAGAGTCCTTACACTTCAAATCTAGATTGCTCTCGGTGTGGACAGGGTGAGACGGAAGTGTTGACAAGTACTACAGCAACTAAACCTTTTTGTTTACAAATAAAGAAACCAGTCTACGAGAGATTGATTAAAAAGCACACAGTTATAATGATGATAAGAGGGAAGAAATATAAGAAAATTCAAGGTGGTTTGTGGCAACAGAAAGAAAAGCAGTTATCCAGGACGGAACTGGGGAGGAGAAATCCTCCAGGGCTTTTCCACTTTAGCACCATTCTGTAGAAGGTGGCCACACCCCATCCTAGATTTGCAAAGATGCAAATTGTTTGTTCACAAATGTGGAAGAAGATTGGCACTGTGCTAATGGGGAGAGGTCACATCATTTCTTATGACTTAAGCCCTATTCTGCAGCAAAAACCCAGAAGTTTCTGCTGTGGGTATACAAGGAGCAGTAACAATAACACATTGTTTTGTGATTTGTTGTTGTTGTTGGTTGTGGGTTTTGTGTATGTTTTGTTTTGTTTGTTGTTTCTTTGTTTTAGAGCTGTCTTTCAGGGTGCCTTTTCTCTGTTCTATACATTCTTGGTTTGACTGGCACAGCAATATTCTACACTGTTATCTATAGGTACTGACTGATCCAGGGTAAAGGGAGAACAAGGGGTAAGCAAGAAACAAGAGCTCCCGTCGCTAACTGTGTGGGAAATGAATGTGTGCGTTTGAAGAAAGTGCCGGGTTGAAGCTCTGACACTGCACGTAATTACAGTCTCGGCGTTGTGCTTGTCTCTCCTGGCCTGATCCACGGTGAACAGGGCCTGCATGGGTTACAATTGATACCGAGATGGTTTGTAGCCTTTAAGTTTATATCTGGTCAAACACTCATCAGAGTATGGATACTCACGGATAGTCCATGTTTGGTATTCCATTTAATATAGCAGTAAAAATCCCTGAGAAGCATTTTGTAAATCAGAATGTAACCAGACTTTTCACATCTTGATGAACCAGATCTGTCTCCCCTGTTCTTTCCATCAAACCCTGGGGTGTTTCAGTTAAGACAAAACCAAGACTACTCCAAAAGATGGTGAGTCACGGGGAATTTCAATCCTTGGACTCTTTTTTTTTTTTTTAATCATACTGCTGTGTCAACAACTGGAGTCTTTTTTTGTTCTAATACTCCCTCCTCTCCCTTTCCCCTTCTCCTCCTTTCCTTTCTCTCCTCTCTCTTGTCTTTTCTTCTGTCTCCTTCTCTCTCTCTTTTCCTTTCCCCTCACTCTTCTTTCTTGTTTTCCTCTGTGGTCTCTCCAATGCCTCTCCTCCCTTTCTTCCTTCTTTTCCTCCTCTCTCCATCTTTTTTCTCTCTTTCTTCTCTGTTCTCTCCACACTATCTTTGCATCCTTTCTTCCCCATTAAGGTTTTCTGTTTTTAAAAATTTGTTCCAGGGGCTGGAGAGATGGCTCAGTGGTTAAGAACATTGCCTGTTCTTCCAAAGGTCCTGAGTTCAATTCCCAGCAACCACATGGTGGCTCACAACCATTTGTAATGGGGTCTGGTGCCCTCTTCTGGCCTGCAGGCATACACACAGACAGAATATTGTATACATAATAAATAAATAAATATTTTAAAAAAATTGTTCCAGGTGTGTTTGCTGAAGTATCTTCATCATGACTATCTTAAGATTGAGCTAGAAAATTTGAATTTCACAGACATCTTTGTATTTTGAAACTATCTTTTAATAATTAATTTTTAGATCTTCCTAGTTCTTTTTCTTGAAAATAATTTTTATAAAGGTCATTCTGATCATTTCCTCTTCTCATCTTGAGCTTGACATTCCCTACCTCCCTACCCATCCAACTCTTCAAATTCCCAGATGTGGTCTTGCTTTATATATTTCCTTGATCAGTCTTGAACTTGTGGGTTCAAACAGTTCTTCTGTCTTGGCCACCCAAGTTTTGAAACTAAATATATATAATCGCACCCAGATGTTTAAATAAAACAATGAAAGAAATTAGCAAAATAGGTTTTTAAGTCGTTGTTCACCGGCATGCAGTTCA